CTACTCTGTCCCGTGGGGTCGCTATGAGTTGGCATCAACTTGATGGCACCCGACAACAACCCCCTGAAAAGCAAACTAGGTAGGGGTGATCATTCCTTTATACAGAAGGAGAACAGGCTAAGTGCCTTGCCTGGGGTCCTGTGAGAAATCACAGTCAGGCCTAACTCAGCGCTAACCTCACCTGCTCTGCTGCGGGCCCTTTGCACTGCCTGCTGGTCGGGCCTGGCCTCCAGACTCCACCCTGGGCCTGAGGGAAAGGTATGGGGAGAGGGGGTGTGGTGCTGGCCTGCTGTGCCCCCTGCAAGCCAGCGCTTGCTGCAGCAGGCTCCCGGTGGCTGCACTGAAGACCCAGGAAATCATCCCTGTGCCTTATTCCCCCACACCGCTTTCATCTGCTGATGCAACTCAGACTGGTCAGTCAGTTCTGGCTTTTGAGGTCATGCTGGAGAGGGAGAGGAAGCCAGGTATCCTCCCTGGCTTGCAAGGAACATGGCAAATCAGCTGTGCAGCCAGCCCTTACCAGCACCTGCTCTGTTTCAGGCCCTGGAGTGGGCAGTTGGGTGAACAGACTTGGTCACAGCCCTCTGTGCGTTCACATTTGGGGCAAGCAGAGAGCATGGAGAAGAAGCCCCATCCTCAACTTCAATGCCAGTCAGACGGAAGTACAAAGCTACCCCCACTTTCCTGCAGGTTCCAGTTTCAGGACAGAAGCGTGGCCAACAGCAAGGCAGGTTCTGCAGGCACAGACCACCTGACTTTCCTCATCAGGGACCCCAAGCCTTGGGCCCACGTGCTTAGCTGCCTTCTTAGGAGCAGAGCCAGGTGTGGTGTGGCACTGCCATTCACAACCCCAGGACTGACTGGGCCGGTCTCGCGGGGGAGGATATGGCGTGGGGAGCCTGTCTGTGCTGAGGATGGAATTAGAGCGCAGCAACTCTGAGAAACCGCCAAGATCAATACCAGCTCTTCAGTGGAGAATGGAAGGTGGTGATAGAGGAAGGAAGTAGGCGATTCGCTGAGGGGGGAGGGGGTCGGCAGGCTGGGCCCAGGCGGCGGGGCTTGGCAGGCACCCAGGCCTTGAGTGTGCCTCTGAGGAAGAGCGTTTTCAGCAGGCGCTCGCGCTGACAGGGCAGAAGCAGCCAGGGCTCTTCCATAAGAGGAGATTTGCTCTGTGAAGCTCAGGAGTCTCCTGGGGAGACAGGAGGAAGACCAGAGCAGGCGGGGGGCCACCCCTAAGCAGGCTGGCATGTAATAAAGAAATGCACTTGATGGGGGTTTTATCACACCAGGGAGAGTGCAAAGTCAACACATCTGGCCTCCGTGTCCTCAGATGTTCCCTGCAGGGTAGGGGAATGATCATCTCTCTGCTTGTTTGGCCAATTTCCACCTGGCACTCCCTGCTCTCACCACATGCCTCTCTAGACCACCCCAGCTTTGTTTCCAAGGCAGAGGGAAAATACCTCAGCTTATTTGTTTATTCCTCCGCTTGGCACTAAAAGTCCAAGGACTGCCTCACCTTTGATGGTGTGCCTGGTGCACCGGCCTAGGGGCCCCACAGGGGGCAGCCTTGAGGGCCGGGGCCTGGCTCCAGCCCACAGCACCTTGCCTTCTCTGGACAAGGGACCCCAGCTACTACCTGGGCCAGAGCCCTCCTATTTCAAATGAGGAAACAAACCCAGGCAGGAGAAATAACTTGTTCAATCTTCTCCAGTACATCAGCCATGCTAGGACAGGAACCTAGTAACCTGGCTTCTATTCTAATCCAGAGCTTTCTATACAAGCCCTCACACCAGTCAAGGTCCAAAATGAAACTGGGCTGTGAATAGACATGATGTCTGGGCTTTTCTTTAAAAGACTCCAAGGAGAAAAGGCTGGGAGGGATCAGGGCTGGGGTAGAGATGAAAGGTATTGACAAAATGTGGGTAACATTTGGAGCTGGCTGATTGAAAGGCTGGAGTTCACACACCTCAGTTTCCTCAGATCTCCTCGGGCCTTCCGAGTTGGCCAGACCCAGTAGAAACTCAGTAACCCTGATGGATGGGTGCACTCTGACCACAAACCCACCTTGGAGCCCATGGATACCTACAGGGACCAAAGCAGATACTGGAAGCTTCAAGGCCAAGCCACCTGGGCTGCCACTTCCTTACTGTAAGATTTACCCTAAGAGAAGAACCCCAAATGAGAGAAAACAATTACCAAACGTGTGTACCACAGGACTCTAAGAATACTATTTACATTTCCTGGGCTCCTCTCTACGGAGTAGCCCCATAAACCCAAAGATTATATTGTGAAAGACCACAATGCATTCAATTAAATGGAGAATACTGGTTGTCCATTTCTGACATTTTTTTTCCAACTCAAATTATTATTTTTTAATTGTGATTTAGGTGAGAAAGTTTACAGAACAAATGTGTTTCTCATTAACCAGTTAATACACAATTTGTTTTGTGACATTCGTTGCCGACCCTATGATACGTCAACACTCTCCCCTTCACCTCAGGTTCCTTGTTTCCAATTGTTCAGTTTTCCTGCCCCTTTCTGTGCCTTCGTGTCTTTGATTTTGGGTTGGTGTGCCCATTAGTCTCCTATACATGATTGAACTATGAAGCATGTCTCTCACATGGGTTATTGTTGGCCCTATAAACCCGTTGCAGTCCAGTCGATTCCCACTCATAGCGACCCTATAGGACAGAATAGAACTGCCCGTGGAGTTTCCAAGGAATGCCTGGTGGGTTCCAAAAGCCCACCTTTTTGGTTAGCAGCGGTAGCTCTTAACCACTAGGCCACCAGGGTTGGCCCTATAGACCTGTCTAATCTTT